TGCTGGTGGAGGAAGTGGATTAGCGATGAGTTGTTTCGGATGTGTGCAAACACTTCTCTCCATAATATTTTGATCCCTAGAGTATATTTAAAGATTTTTCTTTGCTTGTCTGTGTCTTCCCTTGCCTTGTATTTTCTGTGTCTGAGAAGTGCTGCCAGCCTGCAGCTAGTGACTGCAGGGATACGCGGTCTCATCTGCCGTCCCTTCGTCTCCGGGGTTTTAGGGGCTTCCTGTGTTTCTTAAATCACCCTTTTCCCTCCAGAGAGCTCTCAAGCCTATTGAAGCAGGTGCTGTCCCAGTTCACTTACACCTCTGTATTGGTGAAAATCCAGCTCTCCTTGTTTTCTTAGGTCTGTCTAGCAAGATAACACACACTTGAACACTGATGTAGCATCATCTGCAGCTTATTTCTAGTGCTTTTTACAGAAGTAGGTCCTAAAAGTGAGAACAAAAGCAATAAATATGGTGGCAGTGTGAGCTTCTGTAGGCTTGACCCAGCTGTTTTGCTTGTAATTGGGATCCCCTGGCAAATTGATTTTTAGCTGAAAGGGAGATTGGAGATGCTGCTAGGACCGTGACAGCACTGCATGAGGCTGATGCTGTGCTTCTTTCTGAGCGTTCAAACTACACGACCTTCTTTAGAAATGGAGTTAGATTTTGTTGTTGAGGAGCTTTGAAATACAGGTGCTATGTAAGAGAGGTGAGATGCTGATTTTTTTGGCTGGTGTGACGTGAAAAAGTAGCAATATGACATGCCCTTAGTGGGTACCCTTAGTGGTTTCTTGCACTGAAATGTGAGGTGTTTCACATGTGCAGGAGATGGGTTACGGCAGAGCAAGAGCACTTTTAGCCTGCGAACATTACATGTTAACCTGCAGCAGCACAGATAACTATTTGCATGGAGAGCGCAGTGGCAATGCGAAAGAGCTGGAGGCCAAAGACCTTGAGATACCACTGAGCAAATTGGTAGGATAATGGCTCTTCCCATGTAGCAATTGTTGAGAACCCCCCCTAATTAACTTCTGTTATTTTAAATGTGAACATTTAAGGGGATGCCTGTCATCCTGGCATGTGCCTGTAGGAGCTTAGATCCCAACATGCCAGGTGAAAAGGAGAGCTGATAAGAAGCTACTCCCGCTTCCTCAAACCTCCCTCCAAAACATCTTCTTGTGCATCGTTCATCAGGGAGTTTAGTGAGGCTGTGGGACACTGGCGTCTCATAGAGGAGCAGCTGCATGGGGCCCTACACTGAGGGTGAGGCTTATTGCTACTTGACTGCATTGGGAGGATAACAAGTTGGCTCCTGCTGCTCTTTCCAGCTGTGTTTATGCCTGTCCTTTTAGATCATGAGCCCTTTGGGGAAGGGGAACGTGAATGTACCAGATGTAGTGGAGGGAGAAGTTTTGTTTAAAAAATTGGGGGGGGGGGGGGGGAATAACCTGTAGGTTTGAGAGGCTTTAAAACTACCTTATTTCACCACTTAAAGTAGCACAGATTGCTTACCTGAAATAAAAATTTGTGATGCTCTTGTGGATTGCTTACAGTGCTGTTTTTCTTCTTGGCTTTGCAGTGCCTTCTCCTAGTGCCTTGCTGGTTGACAATCCCACGTCCTTTGGAAATGCGAAGGAAGTAATAGCGATCAAAGATTACTGTCCGACTAATTTCACCACTTTGAAGTTCTCCAAGGGGGACCACCTTTATGTCTTAGACACATCGGGAGGTGAGTGGTGGTATGCTCACAACACCACGGAAATGGGTTACATCCCTTCCTCCTATGTCCAGCCTGTAAACTACCGCAACTCTTCCTTAACGGACAGCGGGATGATAGATAATCTACTGGAGAGCCCTGATGAGGGGGTCAAGGAGTTAGACCTGCTTGGAGAATGGACTGACGTGAAAAGAAACTCTGCGAAACCCTACAATAACAACCCGTTCTTGAACGGAGTCCAGACAAACCCGTTTCTGAATGGGAATTTGCAAACAATGCCCAGCTTGGACAGAGAGTCCAACTCCAACGTCACTGTTGACTTGCTGCTCTTTGACACGGGGGCTCCTACTTCAGCTCTTTCCAGTTCAGCCGCTAATAGCAGCCTAGGTAACATTTTTGATGAGTTTCCATCCACAAACAGGCTGGATCTGGAACAGCCTGTGAAAAGGGACAATCCCTTCTTCAGAAGTAAACGCTCCTACAGTTTGTCTGAACTGTCTGTTCTTCAAGCCAAGTCAGACACTCCGGCATCATCGGGTTTCTTCAGCGGTTTGAAGTCTCCCACCCCTGAGCAGTTCCAGAGCCGGGAAGATTTTAGGACGGCATGGCTGAACCACAGGAAGCTGGCTCGGTCTTGCCATGACTTGGATTTGCTTGGTCAAAATCCTGGCTGGGGTCAGACACAACCAGTGGAGACCAACATTGTCTGCAAGCTGGATAGCTCTGGTGGAGCCGTCCAGCTTCCAGACACCAACATCAGCATCCACGTGCCAGAAGGTCACGTGTGCCCTGGGGAAACGCAGCAGATCTCCATGAAAGCAATGCTGGATCCGCCGCTGGAACTGAACAGTGACAAGTGCAGCACCATCAGCCCAGTCCTGCAGATCAAACTCAGCAACATGGAGGTGAAAACCTTCATCATTCTGGAGATGAAGGTGTCAGCAGAGGTCAAGAATGACATCATGAGCAAGAGTTTGGTAGGACTGCAGTGCCTGCGGAGTGACATGAAAGAAGGGCCGTACACGCCGATGCAGCTCAGCTATTCATATGGAGATACGATCCAGGTGCAGCTGGAGAACCTGGAGCCTTGCATGTACATCGCGGCCGTAGCCCAGGGGCAGAACATCCTCTACCCTTACACTGTTTGGGATTACATCAGCAAGAGGATCACAGTTGGCGTCTACGGCCCAAAACACATTCACCCTTCCTTTAAAACAGTTGTGGCCATTTTCGGGCACGAATGCGCGCCCAAGACTCTCCTGGTGAACGAGGTCACGAGACAGTCCCACAGCCCGGCTCCTGTTGCCCTCCAGCTCTGGGGTAAGCATCAGTTTGCTCTGTCGCGGCCTCAGGACCTCAAGCTCTGCATGTTCTCCAACATGACCAACTACGAGGTGAAAGCTAGCGAGCAAGCCAAAATTGTGCGGGGCTTCCAGATGAAGCTGGGCAAGGTCAGCCGCCTTATCTTCCCCATTGCATCCCACGACCCCAACGAGCTCTCAGACTTCACGCTAAGGGTACAGGTCAAGGATGACAAGGATGCCATTTTGACCCAATTCTGTGTCCAAACACCGCAGCCGCCTCCAAAAAGTGCCATCAAACTGACAGGGCAGAGGCGGTTCCTCAAGAAGAACGAGGTCGGAAAGATCATCCTTTCACCTCTGGCTGCCATCGCCAAGTATCCAGTCTTTCAGGACCGGCCGGTGTTGAGCTTGAAGTACGGCAAGCTGCTGAAGACAGTGGTGCGGCAAAGCAAGAACCACTATTTGCTGGAGTACAAGAAAGGAGATGTCATAGCCCTCCTCAGTGAGGAGAAGATCAGGTTGAAAGGGCAACTGTGGACCAAGGAGTGGTATATTGGCTACTACCAGGGAAAAATAGGCCTTGTGCACACCAAAAACGTGCTGGTGGTTGGGAAAGTCAAGCCCAGCTACTTCTCTGGGCCAGATCTCACCACCAGCCTGTTGCTCGAACAGATCCTGAGACCCTGCAAGTTCCTGACCTACATCTATGCCTCCGTGAGGACTCTGCTCATGGAGAACCTCAGCAGCTGGCGGTCCTTTGCCGATGCACTGGGGTATTTGAACTTGCCGCTCACGTTTTTCTGCCGAGCGGAGTTGGACAGTGAGCCGGAGCGAGTGGCCTCCGTCTTGGAGAAGCTGAAGGAAGACTGCAACAACACCGAGAACAAGGAGAGGAAATCTTTCCAGAAGGAGCTGATGACGGTGAGTCTGAGGTCTGATAAGGGGGGGTCTTAATTCCCTGCTGTGCAGAGTGATTAGGGTGAACAGGAGGTGGAAGTTTCCTAATTCAGTCTGTAGAAGGTTAGGGTTAGGGTTAATGTCCATCTTCTGCAGGCTGCTTGGCACAGCCAGGTGGAGGTTCAACCCTGTGGTTGGACTCATCGAAGGGCTCCTGGTTTAATGGGATCATGGGTATAAATGAGGGATGCACTGGGTGAAATACGGTAGGTACGTGTTGTGTGAGGGCAGCCAACAGGCTTGCTTTGGAAGGTAGCTAATCTGAAGCCCCTCAAAATCAAGGTGATTTTGGTACAGTGTTCATGGCACTCAACTGGTCCCTGCTGCTGGGTATTTATTTACATTTCAACCTTCAATGATGCACACTTCGAGGAATTACCTGAGAGCTGCTGGTCTCCTCAACCCCAGTGTCAAAGCGTGCATTGTTGAAGGCAATACTGATGGAAAACTGGAAGAAAGACAAGAAACACAAAAGCTTTTCCTATACGGAGTGGGGTAGGCGAGCCACCTCTCGGGTCACGTACTTTTGCATCACTAGGTGTGTCAGAGCATGCCAGAGAGGGGTTTTTACAGCTGCTGTGAAGAATGATGCTACACCTTTACCTTCATGAAACAACCTCAAATTCCTCTGTAATAATGTCTTGTTATGTCTGCCTCATCTCTCTTTGGCAGCTAAACCAAGGGCACCTCTGAGCTGGGATGCTTTACGTCCAACTGTGGATTGCGTTTGTGAATTGAAATGCCCAGCTTGCTTCTGTCCTGAAAGGCATTTGGGGAGGTGCTGCTTGCAGGTATTTCTAGGATGCCATTAGGAAGTCTCTTATGAGGAATCATCTTCGTGATCATTTCTAGCATTTCATAGGAAGTGAGCCAAAGAAAATACAGAACGAAACGTCTGGAAGAGATTTGCAGCTCTCGCCTCTTAACAGGCTCTCCCGCAGAAGCAGGATAACTGAGTTACAGCAAATCATGTGGTTTAAAATGCCAACTGAATTAAGGAATAGTGACAGCTTCGCTTGATGATGATGGGCGCAGGCAGCAGCATGCAAAACAAAATTAGGAATAGGCAGCCTGGGTAAAGAGGACTGGAGCCGAATGAAGTATTTCATTTCCCACTCCCTTTAATAAGAGGGTGGAAATTTGAGGATCCCGAGTATGAGGTGTAAGGTGTTACAAAGAGTATGGAACCTTTCGTTACTCATGGAAATATTGTCCAGTGAGTTCCCAGTGCCTGGGTACCACTTTGTGGCCCGGGGGTCAATGTTTTAGCTTTGACTTTCAGGTGCCAGGTCATGCCACCAGTGCTGCTTCTGTTGAGGGGTTCTTCTGGCCATCATATGCGGTTGTCTCTCTTCTTTCTTGGGCCATCCAGGAAGGGAAAATACCCACCATGGTAGCCAAGGCTGGTGTCTGGCCCCATGGTTCCCCCAAGGGAGGGTTTGCTCCTTTAATCATTAGCCTTGATGAATGATGGGATGAAATCTGTTCTTCTCTTGCTGGATGCTTGCAAGGGCTTCGTGCTGTTTGCCTTACCGCTTTGCAAACCTGTAAGTGTTTTTTTATCTATTTCCTTTGTCTCCAGGGGTCCCAGACAGTCTGTAGGTCTTGGAAAATCCATGTCAGACCTCAGTGGGGAGACGAAGGGAAAGATAAGGCTCTTTGGATACTCAGGGAGCCGCTAACTCAAGGGGAGGGCTGTAAGCTGCAGGAAAACATCCAGCTCCCCAAGGGATTGCCTGGAGTGCAGAGTCCCAGGGCAGGTTTTATTTTCCTTGTTTGAATGGAGACTAATCCTGAGCGTTGGCTCTGTTTCCTATTCTTTGTGAGTCTGAGCCCGTCGATAAAGGATGAGCTCCCTTCCTGGTGGAAGATGATGCTTCTTCTAAACCTCTTGCTGCTGTCAAATCCTCCTTAGCTTATGGAGAAATTAGATTTAGCCTGTTTAAAAAAAAATAAAAAATTAAAAAAATAAATGTTTCAGGGAATGACAACAGAGCAGCAATGTATTTTATTGTGTTTAAATCTGATTTTATTTGTAACAAATGGACTCACTTTCTCGTGTCTGCTGGCAAGAAGAATCAGTTGGATTAAGCTCTGATCTGGCCGTTTCATCTTGAAGTTGGTTGTCTCCTCTCAAAGGGACTGTGAAGGGAGAGGCAGTAAGCAGACTTATCTGACTACAGTGTTGAGTACACAAAATGGCAGTGGCAGAGCCGTGCATGAGCAGCCAAGCATGGAGAAGCCTGGTTGTGATGACTAGTTAATAAGTAATCTGCATTTAATTACTATTTTTCTAATCTAGCACTAGCAGTGGTGTGAAGGTAACTGGGGGAATGTTGCTCAGAAGTTAGTCATCACATCAGAAAGAGAAACCTACCTCTCCCCTCCCTCCTCTCTGCCCATCGAAAGTAGGCAGCATCCAGATGCTCTTGCTAAAAACACCTGGGCACAGATGCAAGAAGACCTCGTTGCAGCTGGGCCACCAGTACCTAGCCGTGCAGTGACTGCACTACCTGGTCCTTGGGAGCTGGGGTTAGACCTGTGATGAGACAGAGCATTTTTCTCTCTGGATTTTTGATACGGTGTTTTTACAGAGCGTTTATCGTCCTTTCCAACAGACACTGCTGTTGGGAAAAACATGGGTCTTCTGGGAATGCCACTGGGTGTGTCAGCAGAGACCTGTGGAAACTATGAGCTTTTCCTTCTCCGGGCTACTTCTAAAGATCTTTCAGAAGGTGATGATGGGTGTTTTTTTTTCCCCCACTGTTTTCTGTCGTTTGTTCTGACTGCAGGTATCTGCATGCTGTCTTTCTTCTACCAAAAGATACTGCTGGGGGGCTCAGGCAGTCCTTCATGTCCTGCAGAGGAGGGTGTCCACTGCTTGGACCTTGTGCTGGCACACCTGGAGCGTGCCAGCGCAAGGGTGCTCACGTTGGGCCCCTCTTGCTCCTCCACCCCAAAGCAATCTGCTGGCTAATGGTAGTCCCTGTGCTGAATTTGGGTCCGGGGGAAAACCAGATTCCTGCCCTTCTTCTGCCTTCATGGGAAAAAATCCCCACCACATGTGTAGATCCTGGACATTGCTTCCCTAAGGAACCATGCTGCACCATGCTGAAGTTGGTGGGGATGTTTCTGTAGGACATGGCTTGTCCTTGCATAGCCAAGTTGCTTGCAGCACAGGAGTCGCTTGCAAGCTTCCAGCAAGGAAGCTGCACTGCGCAACACTTGTAAGTCTTGCCCTGCGCCCCTATCAATTAATAGAAAGCTGCAGAAATGCCACCGATGCCTTTCAGCTGTCGTGTTGTCAGCCTCCTTGCTCCGCAGGCAGTATAAGACAACCCACTTTTATTTTCTGGGGCTGGCAGGAAATCTTTACTGCCTTTCCATCCCCAGTGCAGCAGTTGCAGGCTCTGTGCTCTTGTTCCCATGCAATTTTGCTCTTGCAAAAAAAGCTGCCTGTGATTGCACTTGACTGATGGCACTTGGCATCACTTCTTCTGAAATGACACCTTTCTCCCCATGTTTGAGGAAGTCCCAGGGCTGTGAGCATGGGAGCTAGGTGAGAGCTGCAGCATGGTGCTGCCCCAGGCACATCGCTTGCCTGCCCTGCCTGCTTGTACTCGGGTTGCATCCCTGCCCTGGCACACATCCCCTCAGTGGTTAACGGGACACTAAGTATTACTGCTTTACGGTAACCGCATCTCTGCTTCCCCCACCAAACACTGTGCAGACGTTTCAGGGGGTGAGTAATGCATGATAACACTTAGATCCCCTGGGGTGCTTTCTGATTTAAACGCTATTTTAAAACAACATCATTAATTTTAAAAGTCTATTTCCATAACAGCTTCCTTTTGTGGGTCTTGCACCACGCTTGGTGTGCTCACGTGAACTTGGTGATGCTTTCCACTTCTGGGGCAAAGGAGAAAGGTTTTTACTCCTTTGGCCAAAGGTGAGGAAGAAACAAGACCCGCCCCAGTTCAGATGGCTCCTCCGGAGCATGTGGGGGTCAGGGCTGGACCACGGGAGGCTGCGTATCTGTGCATGGGAGAGCGAGCAGGACTTGGAGGCTCACAGAGTCAGGAGTGGACCATGAAGGTTGCGGTGATGGGCGCGGGCAGGGGTGACCGCGCATCTGCAGGTGGTCTTTGGGGTTGCCTGTTGCTTCGGGCTTGGTTTGCTTTCTTCCAGATGCTGGTTTCCATCATTAGAGGATGGGAAATGGGATTCTGCATTTCAGAGCTGGGATGCAAATTCGGTCTTCTCTGGATGCCTTTTAAGTAGAGGTGCTTCTGCGCTGCTTTGAACTGGGATTTAAATATCAAACCATCTCCTTTGCTGTGTGCTTGTCTGCTGGAGCAGGCTTGGAGCCACTCCGAGGTTAATAAATGCTTTGGAGGGCACTGGGAAGGCACAGCCCAGGTCATGCCTTGGCAGAGAGCACAACTGGGTACCGAGGGATGGAGACACGGTGGGTGTAGCCAGTTATCCAGGGAGGTTTGTCCAGGGCAAGGGAGGAGGGTGGAAAGAAATTGTAGCGTAATCCCAAAAGCGCCTGCCGGAGGATTAAATCTGTTGTGAGCCCTGATAATCCCAGATGAGCTGTCAGGGCTTCCAGGAGAGCCCCATGCCCGCATGGGTTTCATGTATTTCTGTGACAGAGGGAGCGAGTTGTGCCCAGGCCAAAAAAAGTGTGTCGCTGTTACCACGAATATTCCCCCTTTGGCTCTGACTTTAGTGGCTGTGTGTCCTTCTTGCACCCCATCCCCACCTGGCTTTGGTGCTGTCCCCATCTCCCATCACCTCTGCCCACTTGCCCACATTTTCCCCAGCCCATAGTGTGTATGTTGAGCCTCCCCAGCTCAAATCACCAGGGGCAAAGTGCAGGAAGTAGGTGTTTCTGTGGCTGTCAGTAGGTTTCAGAGTTAACGTGCTGCGCTGTGGGGAGCAATCAGTCTCTTCCAAAGCTGTTGCTTCAAGCGATTGTACAGTTCTTAGTTACATGGCCTCCCAGCTGCTTTACTTGATGCCATTTTCTTTTTTACATTGAGCGGCAGAAGGAACGGGAGAGTCCATCTCCTGCAGCTGTACCCTTAACCCCGGCAGCACAGTTTGCTCCCAGTGGCTTCCTCTGCTGCCTCGGACCCACTCAGCCTCCAACAAGCGGCTCATTTAGCCTGCTTTGCTAAATACCAGGTTGTTTCAGGGTTTGCATGCAGGCGATCCGAGCCACCTGGAAGCACAGGTTTGAGGATGCTAAATCTGCCCTTCCTTAGGACCGTCTGAATCCTCTGCCTGCAGAGGAGAGGGTGATGAATCTGGGGTGGTAAGGTAGCATTGCTGGAGAGGAGGCAGTTATGGCACAGGTGTGAGGTCTAAATGCTTCTTAATGCCCTTTTTAAAAAGAAAAAGTAATGCTCTTTTAAATGTATTTTCCTTGCTTGCTTAACAAGAGGGTTTATTACTTCTCTCCTAGTACAGGAAACTAGTGTAAGCACTTGAGGAACAAACAAATGCTGGTCTGCAGCTGTAATTAGGTTCAAGCCCAGCTTTAAGCTGGAAACAGATAAGGGAAAAATCAACATGCATTTGCTTTGCAAATTGCTGGAGTGGTTTCAGATGTTCCCATCTTCCCCCAACTGTGCCTGTGAAACCACCTATGCAAGGATTTAACCCTTCTTCTGCCCCAGAGCCAAACCAGCTGGGGTTTGTCCAGACCCTCCTGTGCCAGGAGAGGATGTCTTTCTCCCATGGCGGCAGAAAGCAGGAGGATTCTGGCCATGTGTGGACAACCACATCCACGGTTTCTGTAGTAACCAGCCCTGTGCTGTTGTGAAGGTGTGGGTGATGTTCCCAATGGGGACGTGTGTGCCAGTGTGGTTCCTTGGGACCTCACTGGTTTTCAGCACCCTCCGTGTTTTCACGCGCCCTGTGGGGGGGGGGGGGCTGACCCTGCGTCCCGAAGCTGTGGTTTGCCTTTATTGAAGTGAGACCTTCTGTTGAAATGCTGAGCCCTTGATGTTCACCCATCCTGGAGCCACCATCCTGAGTCCGCTGGTGCCACAGCTCCGGATCTGGCCATAGGAAAACAAGAGGGTAGTCAGCAAACTATCGCCCAAGGCAGTCTGAGGTCTGTTTGCTTGGTTTCCATGTTTTAAAAAGGGGATGCCTGTTTCATAATATAAACCACCTTTCTGTAGCCACTTGAAGTTTGAGGTGGGATTTGTCCAGGAACTGGGGTTGTTGCTGAGGCTGTTGCGGTCCACGGGCTCTGGCAGAGGATGGGGGAGCCCTGGTGAGTGGGATGTTGATTCTGTCGGTCAGATCCTATCCTCTGATAATTGTCACTTAAACCCTTCCTTTCCTGGGCTGCATTGTGGGTTTTCCCCTGTTGCAACTTGCTTTCCACTTTGAGCAGATGTTAATGTGATTTGGTACCTCAAGATAGGAGCTAATGCTGCTCTGTCTTTTTTTTTTTCCTGGCTAAGTTATCACTAGCTAGAAAACTGTGACTGCTGCAGTTCCTCTTCCCCACTTCTTCAAAACCATTTGTGGAAATCTCAGCTTTTAGGCCAATAAATGACACGGAAGGAGGTGTTTTCTGATCTGGCATGGGAAGGCAGAGGGGTGGTGAGAAGAGCAAGAACATCCCAAGCCAAGCAATGGTCCTGTAGTGCTACCAACTGGCCCTTCGCTTGGGTCTCACCCCAGCCCATCTCCCGAGGCTGATGTCCAGGTCTCGTCCCAAAGTGTTCTGGCTGGCCCGTACCCACCCATCTGTGCTGAAGGACGGTGCTCCTCTGGGCTTGGGGAGGCAAGCTGCACGGACCACACTGGATTAGTTTCCTTGATTAAAGGCATCTGTTCTTCTCAGCCCTGGGATGCTTTAAACTGCTTACGGTGGCGCCTGAACATCTTGAGGGGTTGCCCAGAAAATAAGGCTGCGTTGGCCAGCCCAGGCTGCAAGCCTTGTTGAACAGGGATAGGGTACATTGTTCAGTTAATGGGATTACTCTTCTGTGGAGCCTGGTGGCCTAATTTCACCGGCTGTCACCAGAAGGGGGGTGGGAGGATTTTTGGGGTGGCTTCTTGAGGGACTTCCCTTGTACTATCCCCTAGTCACCTGCCATCTACGGCCCGCCTTCACTCTCTGGTTTGATTTTTCACCACTGTCCCTCAGGCTCTGCTGAAAATGGACTGCCAGGGGCTGGTCGTCCGGCTTATCCAGGACTTCGTGCTGCTGACCACGGCTGTGGAGGTGTCCCAGCGCTGGAGGGAGCTCGCCGAGAAGCTTGCCAAGGTCTCCAAGCAGCAGATGGATGCTTATGAGGCCCCACACCGGGACAAGATGGGGGCAGTGGACAGTGAGGTGAGAGCAGATGGGTCTCGGTTTCCATGGGTCCCCTAGGTTGCAGATACCTCCAAGAGCATGTTCTTCTGGAGCACCTTTGGGGGATAAAAGGGATTTGGGTGTGCTGGGAAAATTTGTGGGTGTTATTCCCTGGGAACATGCTTGTTCTGGGATGGGGGTGTGTTAGGGATGGCATCACTTGCTCACTGGCCATCCAGCTCAGCTCTGATCTCCTCTTCCCTCTGCTCCATCACTGCAGGCCATGTGGAAGCCAGCATACGACTTCCTTCTCACCTGGAGCAGCCAGATGGGTGACAGCTACCGTGATGTGATCCAGGAGCTGCACACCGGGCTGGACAAGATGAAGAACCCCATCACCAAGCGCTGGAAGCATCTCACCGGCACCCTGATCCTTGTCAACTCCTTGGACATGCTGCGGGCAGCTGCCTTCAGCCCGCAAGACCACGAGGATTTTGCCATCTAGCTCCTGCGGCGATGCTTCTGTCCACATCTCATTTGCTGCTTTTTTTTCTGTGCTTTTTCCCCTTTCTTTTAAGCAGTTGACTTTAAAAAGAAGTGGAGGTTGCTCTCCCTGGCTTTTAAGAGGCCAAAGTTTGCAAGTTCTCCACCGGGACTGGAAATCAGCAGGAGACACCTCTCGTTCATGGGAAGGCATTCAGAGGGGGATGGCTTTTCATACGGCATTGATACCAGTTAAACTATTTCTTACTAAAAAACTTTAAAGGGGGCAAGGGGGTGGGGAGGGATCACAAAAGAGATCACATTTTTTAGGCATTTACAAATAAAAGTCTAATTTTTGTAATAAGCAGTAAAGGTTGTAACCACTTTAGGGGGAAGCTGTGGCTGTTTTTTATGTTGTAGAAACTGCTTTTAAATTATCGTTTTTGAGACGAACGTGAGTCATGTAAATACATATTTTAAGAGGAAGCACAGTAAATGCCCTCCCCCACCACCACGGTCAGGCTTTGGCAGACTACCAGATGTGACTGTAAAGCACCATATGAACTCAGAATGTCCTCAGCCCAATAAGCATCTTATACCAAAAAAGGAGCTGCTTTTTTTTATTCACAGTCCCTGTGAGCCGTTTGGTTGATTTTTCTTTTATTTTCATGTCTCTGCAAACATGCATTTTCTCATTTGCAGACAGGGAGATGCTCGTTGCCTGTTTTCAAATGCACGGGTACCATTTTTTACCAGGAGAAGCGGTCACTGCCCCTTCCACTTCGTCCTGCCCGGGTACTGTAGGACATCTCTGGAAGAAGCTCGAGGTTTGGGGTTC